AGTACTCGGAGTGGACGTCGAATGGAGCTGAGTGTTGGGTCCATCCAGGCCAATCGCACTGGCACAGGTAAGCACTTTACCTCTCGCTCTAAGTCCAGCTGGGCCCCCTGGCTCGAAGCCTCACCACTTCTAGTATGTTCTGTTCAGTACCCTGACTGTTCCTTTCTCCATGGTGTCCCCAGGGCTACTCCTGACCTTGCAGCCAGAAGAGAGGTTCCAGAAAGTGAAAGGATTTGGAGGAGCAATGACAGATGCTACTGCTCTCAACATACTAGCCTTGTCACCCTCTACCCAGAACCTGCTGCTCAAATCGTACTTCTCTAGTGAAGGTGAGGAAGGGCCGGAAAGGTTACACAGTATAATTGATACCCTTTTTGTACCCTGGCTTTATTTTTGTAATTTGTTACATTTTATTATTTATTGTATGTGCTGCGCATGGGTACGGAGGCCAGAGAACAATCCTCAGGGGTCCATTGCCTTCTTCCGCCATGTGGGTCGTGGGGGCTGAGTCAGGTCCCCAGGCTTGGCACCAGGCACCCTCTACCCACTGTGTCATCCTGCCAGCCTTTTTAACTCTGATTTTCATGTTCTCTGACATTTGCCTCCTCCCTTCTTTCTCTTCCCCCCTCTCCTCTCTATCCTTCTCTGAGCAGGCCTCATGTATTCCAGACTCAAATCCACTGTGTAGTCACTGATGACTTAACTCCTGACCCTCCTGAGTGCTGGACTACAGATTGTGCCATCAGGCCGTTTACTCAGCTGGAGCTCAATCTTGGGCTTTATGCATTCTTGGGAAACTTTCTGCCACCTGATCCACATCCCCACCCTGCCCCTCTCTTTTTTTCCTCTTCCCCTCTGTCCCTTCCCTCCCTCTTTCTGTAGATCAGAATTGCCGTGACTGGCCTCAAACTCTTCCTGACTTGGTCTCCCAAGAGCTGGGATCACAAGCCCCCAAGTGTTTGTGCCTCAGTGCCACTGAAACCAGATCACTTCTTAATACTCTGCTAAGTACTTAAGGGGACATGAAAACTGCTCAGGAGGGGCTTGTTCTTCACTCAGATTCTTGTCCTTACAATTCTATACCACATTCCCTTTGGAGAAGGGACTGTATTAAATGAGACCCCATTGAAGACTAACACTGATTAAAGCCAATTTCCATAGTTGCCCTCTCTCTCTCTCTCCCATAGTTGCCCTCTCTCTCTCTCTCCCATAGTTGCCCCCTCTCTCTCTCTCCCTCTCTCCCTCTCTCTCTCTCTCTCTCTCTCTCCCTCTCTCTCTCTCTAGCCCTGGCTGGCTTACTCACAGATCTGGCAGCCTCTGCCTCATGTGCCACCTCACTGAGCTCCATGATCTATTGATTCAGATTTCCCTATCTTGGCCAGGAATTGAATATAACATCATCCGGGTACCCATGGCTAGTTGTGACTTCTCCATCCGTATCTACACCTATGCTGACACCCCTAATGACTTCCAGTTATCCAACTTCAGCCTCCCAGAAGAAGACACCAAGCTCAAGGTGGGCCTTCTGGTTGCTTCAGCCCTCTTGGTATTGCTGTTGGGGACTGGAAAGGTCCAGGCTAGAGCTTTCTGCAGATCCAGGTAGAACCTTCTCCTGCAGCCTGTCTGACCTCGGGGTAGGAGGGTGGGGGCTAGTGGTTGGACCCGATGCACTGGTTGGGCTAGTTTGTGTTCCAATTCTGGGTGTCTCTCTCTTCATGACATCTGTCTCCAGATACCCCTGATTCACCGAGCTCTGAAGATGTCTCCACGCCCCATCTCACTCTTAGCCAGTCCCTGGACATCTCCTACTTGGCTCAAGACCAATGGAGCAGTGAATGGGAAAGGGTCACTCAAGGGTCAGCCAGGGGATATCTATCACCGGACCTGGGCCAATTACTTTGTCAAGTAAGGGATCATCAGGGCCACGGGGTCTGTACCAACCTCTCTTTTGTACCCTTTGACCTGTTCCACTTCCAGATTTGTGTCTCAGTTCATCTTTCTACATTTTGTGCCTTTCAGATTGTCGGTCTTACCTATTCCCAAGGTCTTGGTCCATTTTCTTGGCCTTGATCACTCATGTCATTTCTCTCGTGCCAGGTTTCTGGATGCTTATGCTAGTCACAAGATAAAATTCTGGGCAGTGACAGTGGAGAATGAGCCTTCTGCAGGGCTCATAACTGGGTACCCCTTCCAATGCCTGGGCTTCACTCCTGAACATCAGAGAGACTTCATTGCCCGTGACCTAGGGCCAGCGCTTACCAACAGTTCTCATGATGTCCAGCTATTCATGCTAGATGATCAGCGTTTGCTGCTGCCCCGCTGGGCACAGGTGGTAAGGTCTAGAACTTCCCAGGGTTGCCTAGTGGGCCCCAAGTTACCATCCAACTGGTTACAATTTTAGGGTACCTTCCCTGTGCCAGGTTTGAGATAGGGTCTTGCTATATTATATACCAGGCTGGTATTGAAGTTGTAGTCATCCTCTTACCTCTTAAATGCTGGGATTATATGCATGAGCCACCACACCTGAGTTCTCCCACATTTATATAATTTATTTGTTTGTTTAAAACAGGATCGTACTGTGTAGTTCTGAGTGACCAGGCTGGGCTTGAACTCATAGAGACCTACTTGCTTCTGTCTCCCAAGGCCCACACCATCATACCTGTCCTCTCAACTCCCATTTAATGTACATACAGGTGTGGGCCTTAGATGACAATTCAAGAGCAGCTGAGTTTGGTGTGTTCTTTGCTGTTTTGTTGTTTGAGACTGAGTTCCTCACTGATTGGCCTAGGTTTGTTAGCCCCTGAGCCCCAGGGATCCACCTGTCCCTTACCTGCCCAGGTCCTCAGCTGCACGGCAAGCGTTTTACCAGCTCCCAAAAGACTCCTGGAACACCCTGGGCTGAATCTGGTTGCCCAGGGCACTACCATCCCTGGATGTCCAGGTGGTGGTCTCATCACTTCAACTTCAGGTTCTTTCAGCCTGCTACCCGCCTATCAGCATGGGTAGTTCCTCCCAGACCCCTCATGAGCCTTCCATTTCTCTGTGCAGGTGCTATCAGACCCAGAGGCAGCTAAGTACGTTCATGGCATTGCTGTACACTGGTACATGGATTTCCTGGCTCCAGCCAAACCCACTTTAGGGGAGACACATCGCTTATTCCCCAACACAACGCTCTTTGCTTCAGAGGCCTGTGTGGGCTCCAAGTTCTGGGAACAGAGTGTCCGTTTAGGCTCCTGGGGTCGAGGGATGCAATACAGCCACAGCATCATCACGGTGAGCAGTCTGTTTCCCTGTCCTAAGACAGAGAGTCCCAAGACCCTATCTAATCTCAAAAAGGCACACAGGCCTTCCTTCTCAGCTGGCTGGGCATATTGCTCTTTGGGGGCAACTGTAGGAGGCCCTGGTTCTTGTTTTCTTCACAGGTGTGCATACCTTATCACTCTTTTTCTTCATGTTTGGGCCCAGGCAGACATATCTGCCTTAGATTTCTCAGCTCCAGAGATGCCACCATCTTCACAATCCTCTTGTCAGATATTGAGACAGAACACTCCTTCAAAGAACAAGCCACTCCTAGCCCCTAACTCCCTATGTGATTATTACCTATCTTCTCTAGGTATCTTACCCATCTTTAACTTTTACCCTTGCTTCTGCTCTAGAACCTCCTTTACCACGTAGCTGGATGGACTGACTGGAACCTTGCCCTGAATCCTGAAGGAGGGCCCAACTGGGTCCGAAACTTTGTTGATAGTCCCATTATTGTAGACATCCCCAAAGACACATTTTACAAACAGCCCATGTTCTATCATCTTGGCCACTTCAGGTGAGTACAGGGTGGGCATTCCCATTCCATACCAGGCCTGTCATCTGTATCAGCCTTACATCATCCTTTGCCATGATGGAGCAGGAAGGTGTTCAGGGTGGAAACCCTGGGAGGGGCACACTCCTCAGTTGCACCATGTAGGCAGGAAGTGACTAGGTGGCATCAGACTACAGATAATCCCTGGATGACTGATGCTAGAGCTGTGATGCAGGAGGACAGGGCCAAGGCCCGGCAGCACAGCTGGGGCTTAGAATTAAGTCTGGCTGTGTTGCCCAGGAAAACCTGTCATTTCCTATTTCCCTGTCCAGGTCTCCCACATAGCTGAGATTATAGTTGTACATCCCCAGGTAGCTTTGGTAGGTCCCATGAGCAGAGATGATGCTGAGGAGAGCTTGATGGGACAGTGCTCTCAGGGCTAGAGTCCCTGATGATGTCTGTCTTCACATTCAGCAAGTTCATTCCCGAGGGATCCCAGAGAGTGGGGTTGGTGGCCAGTGAGAAGAATGACTTGGACACGGTGGCACTGATACGCCCTGATGGCTCTGCCGTTATGGTCGTGTTAAACCGGTAAGCTGGGTACAGGGCAGGTCTGGGCCTGAGCAGTGTTGGTGGTTGGCCTCAGTGGGTTGACTCTCGGCTTTTCTTCTCCCCAGCTCCTCTAAGGATGTCCCTCTTACCATCAGTGATCCTGGCCTGGGCTTCCTGGAGACCATTTCACCTGCCTACTCCATTCACACTTACCTGTGGCGTCGCCAGTGATGGAACAGATACCTAAGCTAGGTATCTAGGGCTCAGCACGGACATTAAAGGGAAAGAGTTTATGTGCTGTCTGTGACCGCACACGGCTCGGCAGGGCTGGGTTTGGGTGTCTTATTCTCCCTTCTAGTGTATGCTAGAGGTGGGAAGCCCTAGTTTCCTCCAGAACCCCCATGCTTGTAAAGTGTGTGCCATGTCCTAGTTGCCTGTGGAAATTGGACCTAAGTCCAGGGTGAGTTCACTGTCTGTAAAACATAAGATAGGCATGGAGATGACTTGGGAAGTTGAACCTATGCAGAGAAGCAATTTAAGACAGTGTAAGGGCTGAAGCACTTTTAGAACCCAACTATCGGTGGGTAGGCCTACACCTAAGCATTCTTAATGCAGCAGCCAGGAAAATGGCAGCACCATAAAGAAGAAAATGTTTGATCTCAGTGTAAATAGCTTTATTCTAGGGATAGCACCCCATTTTTGGGTGCTCCAACAATGGGGAGTCAAAGGGACATCTGGAATGCATGACAGTAGAAAAACCAGTCTTAAGAGCATGAATACATCATTCCTCTTCATCCTCCTCAGCCATGCCCAAGGCCTGGGTGTTTGGGGTCCGAGCGGGGGTTGCCCGGTGGATAGAAACAATGCCACTGAGCAAGGCATAGCCCACCATGGCTGCTAGCCCTGCCAGCACAGACAGAATCTGGTTCCGGCGCCGGTATGGCTCCTCCTCAGTCTCAGGGCCTGCTGGTGTCTGCTGTGGAGGTGGTACCTCAGCTAGGGGGCAAGGAAGGAGAGTGGGCAAGGGAGCTAGTCCTTGGAGCCCAGCCCATTCTCCCCATCTGCTCCTTACCTCCATCCCGGGGAAAGTAGAGGCTAAGGATATGGGTACAGTAGACACAGAGGTTGTTCAGCCCACGAAGGTGGGCCTGAAGCTTCCCACTGGGCAGCTTTGCCTGCAGCAGCAGGACCAAATGGCTAAAAACAAAGGCATCCAGGGAGGCAGGACTGGAGAGACAGAAAAGGAGGGACGGAAGTGGACAACTGTGCAGAGGGGTCAACGTGAAGCAAGAGGAGAAGTCCGCTTTAGTGGAGCAGGCTCTGGGCAGCAAGGGGTCACCAGGGGGAGAGCTCTGGGTTTGGTAAGGGGTTTTCCCAGGTGGCGCCAGCCTGCCCTGAATGAAGCTCTATCCCAGGGCTGCATAAAGGATACATTGAGTGCCCCACAGCCCAACAGTCTTCTCCTGTGCCTGGCTGCTCTCCCATCCCACCCTCCTGTACCACCAAGGAGGTTCTGGTCCCACAGCCAGCCCCGTCACCAGAGTCAGTGTCTGTCCTAACAACTTCTTGTTCACACCCCAGCTCAGGCTTTGACACCTGAACCTGTATCCCCTTCAAACATCCATCCATCTGTTCCCCTCCACATTAGACTCACGCATCGCCAAAGAAGAACTTCCGAGAACCCAGACGCTGAGAGAGAAGGGTCAGACACTCCCGAGCCTCTTGATACAGCTGCAGAAAAGGACACAAGAAATGTGGTTGGGGGAGCTGTGACACTTCCTATTGTGGACACTCTCATTCTTAACCGTTATCTTTGGGGTTCATCTCATTTGTTCCAATGCTACCTCTTTCTCGAGTTCTTCCTCATTCTCTGGTTTGTGCTCGCCACACAGCAGCTGCAGCCGCTCCATGTGCTGGCGTTGCATGCGGCCAGGCAGGAAGAAGTTGAGGGGAAAGGGCATAGCCTCCGCATACCACTTGCGGGTCACTTCCACATAGTTCTTGGCATCTATCCAAAAAGTATGTATCTGGATTGGGCAGAGAGAAAGGAAGGGAACTCTGAACCGGTGCACCTGCCTATCAGAGTGAGATTCTATGTCCCAGGCTGCTCTGATGCATGTGTGTCTCACAGGCTGTGAACACGGGGTCTGGGCATACTCACTAGCACGGGGAGTAGTTTCTCTTCTAGCAGAGACATGAAGGCTAGGGTATCCGCTCCTTGCCGGGCTGACAGATCATAATCGGCATTATACTTCTGTGGAAGAAATGTTCACGAGATGAAGACTGAAGGGCTGCAGAGGTGCTTTCTCCGTAGGAAGGAACGGTACCCCCCACTAGCCTCTGAGTAGAGTGGAGGTATAATAGGGAGCTTTTCCAGCTGAGGTCTCCTTGCCTCAGCCCAGCCAGTAGCCTGTTGCTGTTGGCAGAAAGCCTGGGCTTTGGAGCCCACTGGCTGTCAAAGTCCTGCACCCACTGGGGGGGAGGGAAGAAGGCCTGGCCACAAAGTGGGAGCAGCTCCCAGAGTTTCCACGGAAAGCTGGCAGTGTGCCCGCTGACAGCAACTTTCTAACAGTAACTTCCTGATCCAGACTCCACACAGCTGGCAGAGTGGAGCTCAACCTCAGGCTGGGCCTCGGTCCACGACTTAGAAATTAAGGGGCACCATCTTTACCCTCCTTGAACCCAGGAAATTTATGCCCAGCTTCCCCACCTCCAGCTTGTCTGTCATGACTGAGCTCTTGGCTATCTCTTCTTCACTCCAAAGTCTACTTGCCATTACTACACACATATCCCACCAGCAGCCTCGTCTTTTAGTGTGGCCCACTGTTCCAGGCTTCAGGCTGTCCCTTAGTACCTCCCTACACGTACTAAGAAAGCTTTGTCCCCACATAACCTCAGCACGACTCTCAAATTTCCCCAAACCTCAGTTTCTCCTTTATGGAATAAGATAGTAATCTTTTTCTCTCAATGTGGCTGGGTTTGGAAATAATTTTGGAAAAAACACGCTGGAAACTGAAAAGGCTGTGTTTACATGCAAGGAATCAAGACAGTAACCCAAATCCTGGCAGGAACTTCAGCTTTTATCTGGATTCTATTTCTCTGAGCCTCTAAGCTTCCAATACTTCCCCAGCCCCCTGGAAAGTAAAAAACGAGAAAGAGGACCCTATTTCTGACTCTATGTTCCCTCCTGGGACAACACCAGATGCCAGACCTCGTAAATGTTGGTTAAGCCTCCTAGGTTTACAAGTGAGGAGTTTTGGGCAGTGAGACGAACTGTTCAGCAGGTAAATAAACTTACTGTCAGACTTGCCGACATGAGTCCCATCTCACGAGTCCACACAGTGAGAGGAATCATTCCAGTAAGCTGCCCTCTGACCTCTCCAATCATGCCACAGCATGTGTGTGTGTACCCCACACACACACAAGATAAATAAATGTTTAAAAACAAGACTTTATCGCTTTGTTTGAGACAGGATTTCTCTGTATAACAGCTCTGGCTGACCTTGAACTCACAGAGACCCACCTACCTTGCCTCCTGAGTGTTGGGATTAAAAGCCACCACTTGCTTTGGAAAGTTAAGTTACTTGTCCCACATCATAGTCAATGGCAGAAGAACAGAACTAAAGCCTTCCACTCTCTTGTAATTCTCTCCCTAAATCTTCAGCTTAGCACTAAGCTTTGTCCACCTCTCTCCAGCATAACATGGTCCCTGAAATAAGATATAACCCTTATGGGGGCTGGAGAGATGATTCAGTGGTTAACAGCATAGATGCAATTCCCAGCACCCACCTGGCAGCTCACAACTGTCTGGACCTCAGTTCAGAGGATCTGACACCCTCACACCAACACAAATAAAGTGAAACACAAACCAAAAAGAGATCCCTTCTTTCCTTTCTCTTTCTCCCTCCCCTGACTCTCTTCTTTCTTTGACAGGGTTTCACCATCTAGTTCTGGCTGGCCCGAACCTCACTATATACATCAGGCTGATCTTTAATTCACAGAGATTTGCCTGCCTCTGCTTTTCAAGTGCTGGGATGAAAGGTATCCACTCCTGACTTTTTTCACAACTTTTTGTCACAACGACTCATGTATCCCAGGCTGCCCATAAACACATTATACAGCCAAAGATAATTGTAAATTTCTGATCATCTTGCCTCTACCAAGTGCTGGGATTATACACATGCCCCACATGCCTATTTTTATTGGGAGTTCCTTTCCAGTTCCTCTTTTCAGGGCCTCCCCAAAGCCAACTGCTGTCCTCTAGTCTTCTTTATTTCCCATGTATCTTCAGCCTATATTTTTTCCTCCCTCCCTGCCCAGCATTCAGAAGAAATTTGATTTCTTAATCTGTCCTGCCCCCCCAGCTTTCTAAGTTTAATATCTTGCAAACGGCTTATTTTGCTTAGCATGTGTTTTTTGGTGTTCAATAAACGTTACAGTGAATGGGCTGGATTTCTTTCATTGTCAGCCCCTATTCAAGCCACCTACCTCTTTACGAAGATGGGTGATGATCTTGTGTGGTACTGAGATCACCTCTCCATTACTGGTTCGAAGGGCAGGCAGAGTTCCTGATATCGAGAAAGAATTAATCAACAAGATCCTAGCTTGCCCACACATGCTTGTTTGCATCACACTCTGGTCTCCTGCTCCTCCCCTTCCAGTCCCTTTCTTACAGGGACACTGTATACCTGAAGGGCTCTGCCAAGGATTGCTGATCTTGTGTACCTTCAGTGGAGCACCTGTAAATCTGGTATAAGTCTGCAGAGAAGGAAGCAGAAGGTAGAGAAGACAGGTTTGGCTTCACAAAGTAACTAAGAAAAGAAATATTTAATCAGTTCATTATGTGCCGTGAACTATACTTAGCACTTTTATACCAAGGGGAAAGGTGGATGGAGGGAGCCATTCCCATATAGAAATGGGCAAACAGGATTCAGAGATTATGAGCATGTTCATACGTCCAGATCCAGAATTACACATTAGGAAAATCTGCCCTTCTGCTGGCTACATGGTAAAACCTACTCTCAAAGGCTTTTCCTAATGAATATCCCTTCTCCTGGAAGGAATGACTGACTTCCAGTCTCTGTTCCTCCTTTTAAATCGTATACCTGAGCATCTTATTATCTGCTTACATGTTTGCCTCTCTGTAAACAACTTCGATATGGGGGATCAAGATCTTACTGCAAGACAGTGTTTGGCATTGTAAGAAGCATAATTAAGTACTTTTATAATCCGGAAGAGGTGGAGTGAAATGAAGTAAACCTGTCTAGTTCCAAAGCCCTTCCTAGAGTCGGGCTGTGGGCTTTGACTGGTCTACGAAAACTAGCCTCAACAAATTCTTAGCGAAAAAGAGGGTGAAGGGGGCTGGGAGGGCAGAAATGCAACACCTAAGATTACTAAGACCGTCTAGAAGGGATCACCCCAAGGTCATACAGCCAACAAACGGATAGGCCAGGTCTAGAACCCATCTTCTGAAACTCTGGTCAGTCCTACTTCCACTGCCACACGAGTTTATCCTAGGAAACCATAGCGTTAGGCATCGAGCTCACGTCGGCCTTTGATTGCCTCAGTTTCTCTCAATATGCTCGTGTTTGGGCTCCCGGCAAAGTTCGGGCCCCCTTCCCGGCCCTCCAGGGCGTAGCAGAGGACGCCTGCGTCATCCCTCACCAGCACGGCCAGACTGTCCAGGTCCACAGACGGCAGCCCCCAGCCCCCTGCCCAGCAGAATAGCTCCATGGGCGCCGCCATGTTGCACACTCTCTGACCCGGAAGCACCTCCTCATGAGTGCCCGCCTTCCCTGGCCAGGCACCGCCCCCGGCCTCTGCCTGTCTGGCCACTGGGGGTTGGGGGTCCGGGGAGGCCCCTGGGGAGGCGCGGGTTTTCGCGGCCTGCGAGGCCGCAGGCCTGTAGGTGGGGCCTCGGACTTCCGAGGCGCGTGGCCGCGGGCTCATCCTGAGGCGGGCCCGACAGGGGGGCAGGGCCGCCATCCAGACGCGCCGGGGAGAGTCGCGGCGCCTGTGCCGAGAGCAGCAGCGCACCGCCGAAGGCGCGGAGGGCTTGGGAGAGGGGCATCGGGTGCGCCTCGTCGGGCTCTGGGGGCTCCTGCCAAACTGCACGTGGCCCCGACAGCCCCGGGCCCCCTCAGGTCTCTGCCCCGAGCGGGGTTTGCGGGGGGGTCCCCCGAGCCGCATGTTTTCCACAGCGCGTTATGTTTGGAGCGGACCTCGCGCTGCCTGTCGCCATGGAAACAAAACAGGGGCGGTGGCGGCGCCGGAGCTGAGGCCCGGCTGGGGCCTGAGTGGGGGAAGGGGAGGTGCGGCTCGCGGGCTGTTGCCTTCGTTACGGGAGCTCCCGATTCACCCCGGAGCTCCCCTCCGGTTCATCCCGGACGAGGCCTGCCCGCGGTGCCCACTGTTCACCAGCCCCATCTTCGCCCCTGCACTCTATAGTTTTCTGCTTCAGCCTCTGGTGATGTTTTCCCCTTTCCTGATTTCTTCATTTCGACCTCACTGACCAGTTTAGACAACATCGTCCAGACTTCATTTTTCCCAAGAACGAGAGGAAATAGAGGAATGGGCACAAGTCAGGGGCCCAACACACCGTAATAAAAGTATTTGCCATGCCGCAGCAATAAGCCTCGTGTCGTTGGCATCCTCTAGGTACTTTAGCAAGCCGGTTTCGGTCAAGTCCCTTGCTATCCTTTCCCGTCAACTGCCTAGAGACCCCATGGCAGGAGTTTCTGACTTCTCCAACCGCGGCTTCCAGAGAACAGTAGCATTTGGTAGCGCTTTAAGTTGAAAGCCCCCAAGAACCAGATGTCAAAGTAAAGGGAGGCGAGGACCATTATGGAGGAGGAGGAGGAGGCAAGGAAGGCTCTAGGACTCTTTCCCAGTACCCCTGGCTCCTGGAGCTGGTGATGCCTCCAAGGTGATTGGCAGCTCTTTGTTTCAGCCCCCCCTTGCCCGGCTGCTGCCCCCCCCAGATCGCTCCTCAGTCCCCCCGCCCCCCTCCCGCTCCTGCTCTCCGCCTAGTCTTTTTCCCTCCCAGTCTCCTGCCTGCCAGGGGTAGTGAACCGGCTAAGCGGCATGGAGAAGCTGGAACTTTGGGGGGCCCTGGCTCTTCTCCTCCTTTGCTCTTACGCATGTGCTAGTCAGGACCTTCAGGGTAAGCCTGCATCCATCCTCCTTGACACCCCTTTGTCTCGTTTCTTTTGCCCCCAGCCAAATAACAGACCACATGGGGGTTTGAGGAGACAGGGAGGAGTCCTGAAATTGGGTTGGAGAGAAAAGTTACACTCCGGGGAGTGAAGAGTTGGTGATAATGTGGGAGGAGTGGGCACCAGAGTGGTGGGTGAGTGCAAACTGGCCCAGACTCAGGCGCTGAGACCAGGATGGACTCAGGATCTGAATTCCAGGACTGCATGACTGAGTTAGTGTCAGTGCATCAGCGGGACAGTCGGGGAAAGCAGCCTGATCGGTGATGGTTGCAGCATGTGGGACCCTGGGCTTGGTCCCTCGTTTATTCCTGGCTCTTGGCTTCTAAAAGATGGGGTGGGGGTGGGGATTGAGCGGCTTGAGCTCTCCCGGAGGTCTGGTGGTGGGATGGCCCATGGGTGGTGTAGGAGAGGTAGTTGGAGCAGATGACACAAGCAAATATTCTTTACTGGCTGGAGGGAAAACCACAGATTGGCCAGGACACAGGAGGCAGAGGCAAAGGCGCTGGGTCCTACGTTCCCGGGGGAGATGGGTGTGTGTGTGTGCGCGCTAAACAGTGGTGGGAGAGTCAGAGTCCTTTGTGGACAGATGCTCTTATCTAGACACATGTGACGAGTCCCTAGGATGGGAGGAAATGGCACCAGGGTTTGAAGTGAGCTAAACCCGGCCGGCAGCGGAGAGAAGCTACCGCTGGTTTCTGAGCCGTCTGCACCAGGTGCCACTCCAGGCTCTGATCCGCAATGTCTCCCTTGCGCCACCTGGTGGGACAAAGTTAGTTTGTGGCGTGGCTTTGGTATTTCTAAGTGGGCTCTAAGCCTATAGGTTCCCAAGACTTTGGAAGCAGCAGAAGGTGCTGGGCGGGAAGAATTGCCTCTGTTCCCTGCTAACAAAAAGGGTTGAGGTTTTGCTTCTTATAGATGGGGTCTTGTAGCGTGGTCTGTGTAGCTGAGGCTGGCTGCTAGCTTGAGACAGTCGTCAGCCTGAGATTACAAGCATGTACCACTGTCCCTAGTGAGTTTTGAGGTGGTTCATGCTGTCCAGGGGCAAGTGGAGAATAATTTGGGATGCTCACCTCTGAGGGCTCAGGAGAGAGGGGAGGCTCTAACACTAACTCCTTTCTCTGACTTTGATAATCCCTGCCTGGCCAGTAATTGACCTGCTGACTGTGGGCGAGTCTCGGCAGATGGTAGCTGTGGCAGAGAAGATCCGGACAGCTTTACTCACTGCTGGGGATATCTACCTCTTATCCACATTTCGCCTCCCCCCAAAGCAAGGTGGTGTCCTCTTCGGTCTCTACTCTCGGCAAGACAACACACGGTGGCTAGAGGCCTCTGTTGTGGGCAAGATCAACAAAGGTGACTTGTGGGCATGTCCCCTCCTGAATGAATGACCCCTTGAGCAGTCTCCCTTATTCCCCACTCCCAGGCACCTCTTTATTCTCCTTGACTTCTAGTAGGGACACTTGTTATGGAGGTGCCCAGACAGTTGGGTAAGCCCTGGTATTTATAGGGATGGGTGGCAGGTTGTATGCCTGGACACTCAGGGAGGGTGAGGCATCGCTGTGTCCCAACAGTAAGTAGTAGAGCCACTTAGGTTTTTGCTAAAGTTTAGTGGGTACAGCTCTAGCTGTTACCTTGGGAGAGGATCGTCATCTGAGGCAGTGAGAACTAATAAGGTCCTCATCTCAGGCCAATTTGAAGAACATATATTGTGCAGCTGTTACATACAAGGTGTCAAGAGACACATATACAATTAGGAATTAGCCTTAAGAAATGTGCTATCAGCCAGGTGTTGGTGGTGCATGCCTTTAATCCCAGCACTCCATGAGGCAGAGGGGGACAGCCTGGTCTACAAAGCAAGGTCCAGGACAGCCAGAGCTAGAGAGAGAGAGGGAGGTGGTATCGAGCTGAGCTGTGGTGGTGCACACCTTTAGTCCTAGCACTTGGGAGGCAGAGCAGGTGGATCTTTGAGTTCAAGACTGGTCTGGTGTAGAGTAACTGCCAGGGCTATACAAAGAAACCCTGTCTTGAAAAACAAAACACCAAACAAACAAGAGTCAGATGGCCAGCGGGTAGGGGAAGTGTTATCTATAAATGGTATCTATAAATGATCGGAGTCCATCGGGACATGGGATGGGGGCTGGTGTGCATACTGACCTCCACTCCCGGGCAGTACTGGTGCGGTACCAGCGGGAAGATGGCAAAGTCCATGCAGTGAACCTACAGCAAGCAGGCCTGGCTGATGGCCGCACACACACGGCTCTCCTCCGCCTCCGAGGACCATCTCGACCCAGCCCTGGCCTGCAGCTGTATGTGGACTGTAAGCTGGGCGACCAACATGCTGGCCTTCCAGCACTGGCCCCAATTCCTCCAGCGGAGGTCAGTGGCCTGGAGATTAGAACTGGACAGAAGGCGTATCTGAGGATGCAGGTGAGAGGAAGGAGCCTCTGGTTTGGGGAAACGGTTTGCAGCACCATTTCCCCAAACTGCTGCTAGACCCTCCCACCCTACTTGCTGACCCCTAGGGCTTTGTGGAATCGATGAAAATTATTATAGGTGGATCCATGGCACGGGTAGGAGCTCTGAGTGAATGTCCGTTCCAAGGAGATGAAACCATTCACAGTGCAGGTAACAGGCTCCTATCCTCTCCACTTCCCACCCACTTACTGCCCATTCCCTTAGCTCGCCCATTTCTGAGGCATTTGACCCTACAACTCCAAATCTTTCATCCCTGACTTCATGAGCTCATGTAGGAGGTGTGGATCTGAAAAATAAAAGTCATCTAGCAGGACTGTGACCCTGAGGAACTCTGGAGTAGGGGTGGAGGGATCTCGACTGAGATCCTAGTCTCAAGGTTTCTGTAATCCCTCTTGGCAGCTGTTACCTAGCAGTGGGCAGCACCTCCAGCCAAGGCCTCTCACCCTGGTCTCTGACAAGGATGCTCAGAGCCTCTTACCTAAGCAAACACCCACTTCTCCCAGAGACTTCAAAGGGTTTGAAATGGAATGTACTAAGGTCCTGGCCCTGCTTTGGGTGGCCTCTCACTTGGAGTCCCCTGGTACTACCATGCTTGGGATCCAAGGTTTTTTTTTTTTTTTTTTTTTTTAATTTCCTTTGAGGCAAATACCTAGAGGGCTTTTAGCTCAGTGGAAATGGCTGCTGAATATAAGGCTGTGGTTAGAGTGCATGTCTTCTATGCAAGAGGCTGTGTAGTGTAGCGCCTCTGCCCTGCTACTCTGGAACACTTGATCTTCATTAAGGTTCCCTCCCATCCTAGCCCTGTCCCAGACCCCTTTCCTTCCCCCCTCCCAGCACCTCACCCCCTGACTGCTATCACTTCTTCTCTAGTGACCAGTGCGCTGCAATCCATTTTAGGTGAGTCAGCCATGAGGTGGTTGAGCGAGGGTGGTCTTCTGTCATGGGTGGGTTTTGAAGGTGTAGACTTTGGGGCAAGAACTGGCTTACAATCCAAAGAGGGCCCACAGTGGCTCCCTGGTTCTGAGTTTCTCCGTACCCTGGACCTTGACAGGGGAGCAGACCAAGGCACTGGTCACCCAGCTCACCCTCTTCAACCAGATCCTATCGGAGCTTCGGGATGACATCCGAGACCAGGTTTGGGTGGGCCAGCCAAGGAAGCTACTGATTCTGGGGTGGGGTGGCAGGCGCGGGGAGCTGACTACCCCTCATTCATCAGGTGAAGGAAATGTCCCTCATCCGGAACACCATCATGGAGTGTCAGGTGTGCGGTGAGTGGGAGAGGAGGGCACCAGACAGCGTTGCTATGCTTCCCACTGTGGCTTCAGCTTCTCCTTCCTGGGAATCTGAATAGTGACCCTAGACGGTGGCTCTGACTGTCCACCTCCCAGGTTTCCATGAGCAGCGTTCCCACTGTAACCCCAACCCCTGCTTCAGAGGTGTGGACTGCATGGAAGTGTACGAGTACCCAGGCTATCGCTGTGGGCCCTGCCCCCCTGGCCTGCAGGGCAACGGCACCCACTGTGATGACATCAATGAGGTGAGGAATGGTGG